CAGGCACCAAATCTGCTGGTGTCTTGATCTTGGACATCTGAGCCTCCAGAACTGTAAGAAATCAATTTCTGTTGTTTAGAAGTCACCCAGTTTAGTGTATGTTGTTATAGCAGCCCAAAGAGACTAAGGGAACAATAAGCAAACTCCAAGAAATCAGTTAAGAGGCTATTGAAATATTCCAAGCAAGAGATGATGGTGGCAGTACTAACATGATAGCAGTGGAAGTGGTGGGAAGTGGTTTTAGATATATTTTGACGAGTTGGCAGAGAGGAAGAGAAGAGTCAAAGATGACTCCAAGGATTTTGGCCTGAGCAACCAAAAGAATAGAGTTGCCACTGAATGAGGTAGAGAAGACTACAAGAAGGGGAAATACCAGTGGCTCTGGTTTGGACATTTAAGTTTGAGATACAAATTATTAATCAAATGGTGAGGCCCAGTGGGCACTCAGATATACAAATCTGGAGTTCAAGAAAAAGACACAGCTGGAAAACACATTTGGGAATCATGACCATAGAGATGGCATTTAAGCCTTTCTTACTCAGATCACCTGAAGTATGAGTGCAGATAGATGAGAGAAGACAGCTAAGAACTGAACCTTGGAGCACTGCAAAATTTAGAGGTGGAAGATGAGGGAAAAATTGGTGAAGAGCCTAAAAAAGAATTTCCAGAAAAAGGAGAAGAGCCAGGCAAGTGTGGTATCCCTGATGTCAAGTGAAGGCAGCATTTCAAGAAAACTGTAATCAACTGTGTCAAATGATGACGATAGGTCAGCTAAGATAAGGACTAAGAAGTGACCACTAGCTCAGGCTCGCAACAACTACATCACCCCTTAGTCCTGGAAGAGGAGCAATTTTCTCCAGAAAGTTTTCCCCTGCCAGAACCAGTTTGAATTAGGAGTTTCTCTTTAGTGTTCCTTTGGCATACTTTGCTTATCTATATCATAGCAGTTAATTATTTTTAAAACATGTATTATTGTTTGCCAAGGACTACTCTAGATGGGCAATTTAAAAAAAAAAAGGTCAAAAATTCTTTCTCATGAAGCTTTCATTTTAATTGGGGTGTGGAGAGGGGCAGACAATAGACAATATTTCAGAGGAAATGTGTATAGTATGTTAGGTGATAAGTGCTATGTAGAAAAATAATGTAGAAGAGAGGGATAGGGAACGTGAGTTTTAGTTTTAAATAGCATGCTCAGAAAATGCCTCTCTGAGCAAACACTGGGAGGATTTAAGAGAGCAAGCCATGTGGGTATCTGGGAGAAAAGCATTCTAGGCAGAGGGAACAAGCATAGAAGCCCTGAGGCTAAAGCATGCCTGCCAGGTCCAAGAGATAGCAAGGAAATCTGTGTAGGTGTCTCAGACTGAGCAGAAAGGGAGAGTATAGGAGATTAGGATAGAAGGTAATAGGGAGAGGTGGCAGATCACAAAGGCTCTTGTAGGTCATTGAAAAGACTTTGGCTATTCTTTCAAACAAATGGAAAGCTTGGAGGATTTAGCAGAATGTCCTGAGGTCAGTCTGGTCATTGTTTTGATAATAAACTCTAAGAGCAAAGGGCAACAACAGAAGTAGGGAGCTAGTTAAGAGGCTATTGTAATAAGGTAAAGTTAGGAAAACTAGTCCATTAAGGAAGAACACCAAGAGGTGGTCCACCCTGACCTAGCAAAATATCAAGGAGAGGCCAAAGGAAGAGCTAACCATTTCCTGCTTTCTGCAGGATGAGACTAAATCCTTCTCTGGGTACTGTCTTCTCAGAGTATTTTATCACTTGAGGCAGGCTAACTGTTGTAACAGATTAACTACAAAATTTCGGAGGCTTAATGCAATATAAATTTGTTTATAATTCCTAGAAGATCCTTCCCCTCCACAGGGTAATTTGAGAATGCAGAATCATTCAGGGTGATGCAGGAGAAAGAGCACACAGGATTTCACTTGGGAAGAGTGAATGAGCGAGTCCTGGAAGGGACAAGCAACACTTTGCTCAAATTCATTGGCCAGAATTCACTTTCATGGCCACTGCTAAACTGTAAGGAAGACTGGGAGATATAATTCAGCTGTGTGCCCAGGAGAAAGAGGAAACAGATCTAGTGAATAACTAGCCATTATCTACTTTAACTGTGAGTGGGCATGCTTTTCATTTCTACTCAGCAGGCAGAGGTTGCAATGAGCTAAGATCATACCACTGCACTCCAGCCTGGGTGTCAGAGCAAGACCCTATCTAAAACAACAACAACAATGAAAAGTTGTGGTGGCTCATACCTGTAGTCTCAGCTAGTCGCCTGAGGATCACCTGAGCCCAGGAGTTTGAAGTTGCAGTGAGCTATGACTACTCCACTGCCCTCTAGACTGGGCGACAGAGCGAGACCCTGTCTCTTAAAAATTAAATTAAATTAAATTAAATTAAATCTCACCATTTCTTTGCCCATCACTGTTTTCCCTTACAATAACTCTTTTCTTAAGCGTTCTGAACAAGTCTAATTTTTCCTCATCCTAATCTAGAAAAAACAGCTGAAACAAATGAGCTGTAAATAAATGACTCACAAACTTTGCTTTGGGGGTATGTCACAGCTCCTTCATCCTCATTTCCTAGAATGCTTTATCTGCAGAATTGCTTAAAAATAGATAGGGAACTCATTTTAAATGCATTAAATGGATATATAAAACCAAGAACAACAGAGATAAAAGATACCATTTTTTAAATCACATCAATTTGCAGGGTCAGCTCTTGATGATCTATACCAAAGAAAAAGAAACATGAGTAATATAAAGCAATTTACAATTTCTTTTCTTCACTTAGGAAGTCAGTCATGACCAGGCCCAATGGCTCATGCCTGTAATCCCAGCATTTTGGGAGGCTGAGGTGGGCGGATCACAGGGTCAGGAGTTTGAGACCAGCCTAACCAACATGGTAAAACCTTGTCTCTACTAAAAATACAAAAAAATTAGCCGGGCATGGTGGTGCACACCTGTAATCACAGCTACTCAGGAGCCTGACGCAGGAGAATCGCTTGAACTCGGGAGGTGGAGGCTGCAGTGAGCTGAGACCGTGCCATTGCACTCCAGCCTGGGCAACAAGAGCGAAACTCCGTCTCAAAATAAAAAAAGGAAATCAGTCACTAACACATATATGCTCATCTCTACTCAGTCTGATTTTTAAAGCTGGCCTCCACTGTCATTTATGCCAAAAGATCTGTAAACACTGATTGACTACAGTAAACACTGATTAACTGACTACAGATTATACCATATGATAAATCATTGTGAAAATATATCTTAAACTATAAAATAAAAACATTCTAATAACAGTTTAAAATGTACATTTCAATCAAAGACTATGTTCCTTGGACAAGTAAAAATAATTTGACTAATTTGATATTCTTGTATGCAACCAAGGTTCACACATATTGTCTAATAAATATAATCCCCTAGGTCGGACTTGGTGGCTCATGCCTATAATCCCAGCACTTTGGGAGGCCAAGGCAGATGGATCATCTGAGGTCAGGAGTTCAAGACCAGCATGGCCAACATGGCAAAACCCATCTCTACTAAAAATACAAAAATTAGGTGGGCGCCTGTAATCCCAGCCACTCGGAGGCTGAGGTGGGA